ACCGCGCAGATGTGAATACGACCTCGCCGTCCCTTGGGGGCTGCGATCTGGGAAACCGTCGCCACTTTCGAGGGCTGCTGCTGGGTCCAGCGGAGTGAGGCACCGCGCAGATCTGAGGTAGACCTCGCCGTCCCTGAGGGGCTGCGATCTGAGAAACTGTCGCCACTTTCGCGGGCTGCTGCTGGGTTTTTCAGCGGAGTGAGGCACCGCGCAGATCTGAGGTAGACCTCGCCGTCCCTGAGGGGCTGCGATCTGAGAAACTGTCGCCACTTTCGCGGGCTGCTGCGGGTTTCCAGCGGAGTGAGGCACCGCGCAGATCTGAGGTAGACCTCGCCGTCCCTGAGGGGCTGCGATCTGAGAAACTGTCGCCACTTTCGCGGGCTGCTGCTGGGTTTTTCAGCGGAGTGAGGCACCGCGCAGATCTGAGGTAGACTTCGCCGTCCCTGGGGGGCTGAGATCTGGGGGACCGTCGCCACTTTCGAGGTCTGCTAGTGGGTCCAGCGGAGTGAGGCACCGCGCAGATCTGAGGTAGACCTAGCCGTCCTTGGAGGGGCTGCGATCTGGGAAACCGTCGCCACTTTCGCGGGCTGCTGCTGGTTTTTTCAGCGGAGCGAGGCACCGCGCAGGTCTGACGGATAACTCGCCGTCCCTGGGGGCTGCGATCTGGGAAACCGTCGCCACTTTCGCGGGTTGCTGGTGGGTCCAGCGGAGTGGGGCACGGCGCAGATGTGAATACGACCTCGCCGTCCCTGGGGGCTGCGATCTGGGGGACCGTCGCCACTTTCGAGGGCTGCTGGTGAGTCCAGCGGAGTGAGGCACCGCGCAGATGAGGTAGATCTCGCCGTGACTGGGGGGGCTGCGATCTGGGAAACTGTCGCCACTTTCAAGGGCTGCTGGTGTTTCCAGCGGAGTGAGGCACCGCGCAGATCTGAAGTAGACCTTGCCGTCCCTGGGGGCTGCGATATGCGAAACTGTCGCCACTTTCGAGGGCTGCTGGTGGGTCCAGCGGAGTGGGGCACCGCGCAGATCTGATGTAGACCTCGCCGTGACTGGGGGGGCTGCGATCTGGGAAACCGTCGCCACTTTCGATGGTTGCTGGTGGGTCCAGCGGAGTGAGGCACCGCGCAGATCTGAGGAAGACCTCGCCGTCCTTGGGGGGCTGCGATCTGGGAAACCGTCGCCACTTTCGAGGGCTGCTGGTGGGTCCAGTGGAGCGAGGCACCGCGCAGATCTGACGGATAACTCGCCGTCCCTGGGGTGCTGCGATCTGGGAAACCGTCGCCACTTTCGAGGGCTGCTGGTGGGTCCAGCGGAGTGGGGCACAGCGCAGATCTGAAGACGAGCTCGCCGTCCCTGGGGTGCTGCGATCTGGGAAACCGTCGCCACTTTCGATGGTTGCTGGTGGGTCCAGCGGAGTGAGGCACTGCGCAGATCTGAGGTAGACCTCGCCGTGACTGGGGGGGCTGCGATCTGGGAAACTGTCGCCACTTTCGAGGGCTGCTGGTGGGTCCAGCGGAGTGGGGCACAGCGCAGATCTGAAGACGAGCTCGCCGTCCCTGGGGTGCTGCGATCTGGGAAACCGTCGCCACTTTCGATGGTTGCTGGTGGGTCCAGCGGAGTGAGGCACTGCGCAGATCTGAGGTAGACCTCGCCGTGACTGGGGGGGCTGCGATCTGGGAAACCGTCGCCACTTTCGATGGTTGCTGGTGGGTCCAGCGGAGTGAGGCACCGCGCAGATCTGAGGAAGACCTCGCCGTCCTTGGGGGGCTGCGATCTGGGAAACCGTCGCCACTTTCGAGGGCTGCTGGTGGGTCCAGTGGAGCGAGGCACCGCGCAGATCTGAGGTAGACTTTGCCGTCCCTCGGGGGCTGCGATCTGGGAAACTGTCGCCACTTTCAAGGGCTGCTGGTGTTTCCAGCGGAGTGAGGCACCGCGCAGATGAGGGAGAGCTTGCCGTCCCTGGGGTGCTGCGATCTGGGAAACCGTCGCCACTTTCCAGGGCTGCTGGTGGGTCCAGCGGAGTGGGGCACCGCGCAGATCTGAGGTAGACCTCGCCGTCCCTGGGGGGCTACGATCTTGGAAACTGTCGCCACTTTCGCGAACTGCTGGTGGGTCCAGCGGAGTAGGGCACCGCGCAGATCTGAGGTAGACGTCGCCGTCCCTGGGGGGCTGTCCCGGGCTGCTGCTTGGTTTTCCAGCGGAGTGAGGCACCGCGCAGATGAGGGAGAGCTTGCCGTCCCTGGGGGGCTGCGATATACGAAACTGTCGCCACTATCGAGGGCTGCTGGGTTTTCCAGCGGAGTGGGGCACCGCGCAGATCTGAGGTAGACCTCGCCGTCCCTGTCGCCATTTTCGAGGGCTGCTGGTGGGCCCAGCGGAGCCAGGCACCGCGTGGATCTGAGCGAGACCTCGCCGTCCTTGTGGGGGCTGCGACCTGCGGAACTGTCGCCACTTTCGCGGGTTGCTGGTGGGTCTAGCGGAGAGAGGCACGGTGCAGATTTGAGAGGGACCTCGTCGTCCCTGGAGGGCTGCGATCTGCGGAACTGTCGCCACTTTCGAAGGCTGCTGGTGGGTCCAGCGGAGTGAGGCACTACGCAGATCTGAGCCGGACCTCGCCATCCCTGGGGGGCTACGAGCCTCACGAATGCCGCTCGCAGAAGTATATGCGCCCATGTCACGTCATCACCTCTGTATAACGTGTCCCAGGCTACTCGTGCCCCGCGTTGCGCAGGGGCTGGGTACGTCGCCAAGGTAATGTTCCTTATTTTTCGTCCAAGATCCGCCTGTAGGGGGACGTGCCCGACCTAAGCCAAGACGCGGAAACAAGGAACAGTTAGGGTCCGGAAGGGCTCGATGCTCCTTCGGTCACTCTGTGGCTGTTCCTCTGGCCCTCTGCGTGCACGGAGGCGCTTTTGGGGCCGAGAAGGGGTTCCGTTCCTTATTTACCGTTCCCTATTTCAACGGCCCGGCTGTAATTGGGTGGGCTCTCCCTGCGTTTTCGCTGGGTCGTCGCCCGCGGCCGCTGCGGAATGTGCGACATGCTGGCTGCCATCCGGTGTCATCGGTAATTCGCTACGCCTGTCCAATACAGTCACGACGCGGACAGAAGGAACGGTTTGGGTACGAACGGGGCTCGATGTTCCTTGGGTCATTCTGTGGTTGTTCCTCTAAGCCCCCCTCGTGCGCGCTGGCGCTTTTGGGACCAACAGGGAGCCTCGGTTCTGATTCACCGTTCCTTATTTCAGCGGCCCGACTGTATCCCGCCTTCGGAGTTCATGATATAACAACTTACAGTCGGGGCCTTGAGGAAGGAACCCTTTTCGTTGGGGAGGGGCTCCGTGTTCCTTACGTGTTTCACAGCTTGCCTCAGGTTTTGCTTATGTTTTCGATGGGAAATCGTAGCTTAACTTCTCGAGAATAGGGGCCTCGTTCCTTATTTATCGTTCCTTCAGTCAACGCCCCGACTGTACAGCGTCGCAGCAAAACATCTGCAACGACTGGTGCCGAACTCGCCCCAGCCACGTCATCTCATCCCCCTGCTTCCTTTTCCGTCAGTCGTACAGTTTCTCTACCACATCCCCCTGCGTTATCCCACCCCCAAAAGGTAAACATTTCGCATACGTGTTTTTTTGTTTACGTGCGGCATGCATGGGACTTCTTTTCGATGTAGTTGGTCCTCTTGTGTCCTCCTTCCTCCGTCCTCCTGTTCTTAAAGCGCCCATATTGTCATGTCTTTTGTTAGCGATACTTCCCGACGGCATTCGGAATGCAATCCTGGCAGACCTGTGGATCCACGTTAGTTTCTGTCGGATAGGGCCCGTCAGCCCACCTCCGCGTCGGCGTGTCAACCATACTTTTTCCCGCTGAGTCGCCCACGCTTATGCTGTTGTTTATCGCAGGTCTGCGTTGGTCAACTACAGAGCTGGGATCAGCGCCTGTGGGAAAGGCGGGCTGTGGGAGCAGGCGCTCGTGCTGCTGAGAGAGTCGTGCGAAGTCGTGGGCCCGAACATCGCCAGCTACACCGCGGCGGTGAGTGCGTGCGGGGAGGGCGAGCAGTGGCAGCACGCGTTGTCGCTGCTGGGCGGACTCAAGGAACGGAGTCTGGAGCCTGACGCTCTTACCTTTCACGCAGGTGTCAAAGCTTATGCAAAAGGTGGGCAGTGGCAGCTGGCATTGTCGCTGTTGAGAAAGCTGAGGGAATCCGACCTAGAGCCAAATGTGATGATTATCACCAGGGTGACGTTTCCCAGGTCATCAGGTTCTCAATGAATGGTTCTCTGTGGCGCGGGTTCCCCACGACCGTGTCGTTTGTTACCCTTGACCATTGGTGCTTGTTTCGTTTCTTTCCCTGTCTTTGGCGCTCCTCCTGCGGACACCCGGAATTCGATGTATGCCTTTGGGGGAGCATTAATTTCTCATCGTTAGCTGATGGGTACCCTTTGGGGCCCGCGGCCTCCATGGCTGCTGTATTGCATACCTTATGTTGTACAGGTTTGGTCGTGTGGTAGCTGGGTTTGCCCAGGTTTCTGGACAGAGTGTGTGTGTGTGGGTGAGGAGTATGCCGCGCGCGTCATCTGGGCCAGCCCGCGCGCGTCTCGCTCCCGCCGCGACCTCCACTACGCCGCGCCGCTGCGCGCGTGGCCGCGACGCCAAGAAGTGTGTGGAATGGGCCTTGCACCAATGGTCAACGTGTAGTGCTGTTGTTTTGCGCGGTTTGCTGTGGCCACTGATTGCCTCTGGAGCTGCGAACAGGTTGCCGAAATTCGACCCTGTGGCGGCAACCGACCTGCACACTCGCCTAGCCAATACGTCTTGTGCTTCCGCGGAAACGGGAACCCGCAGTTTCCATGATACATTAGGCGAGGATCTCTCGAGTACATTGTGGTCGACCAGTATAGAGTAGGAGTCGTCCAGGTGATAATTCAATCTTCTGCACTGCTGGAATTGGCGCGTGCGAGAAGGGCAGTCAATGGCAGCAGGCGCTCGTGTTGTTCAGGGAGATGGTTGAAGCTAAGTTGGAGCGAGACACCACCAGCTTTGAAGCCGGAATCATCGCGTGCGGGAGTTGCGAGCAGTGGCAGCAGGCGTTGGCACTGTTCAGGGAGATGTGTGATTCGAACATGCAGCCGAGCGTATCCGGTTTCAATGTGGCAATCGGCGCAGTCAAGGCAAGTGGGCAGTGGCCGCAAGCCATGTGGTTGTTGAGAGAGATGTCTATCACGAAGGTGGAGTCGGATGTCATAAGCTTCGCTGGAACGATGCATGCGTGCGAGAAGTGCGGGCAGTGGCAGCACGCGCTGGCTCTGTTGAGGGATCTAGTGGAAGGTAAGCTAGAGCCTGATGTGATCAGCTACTGTATTGCACTCAGCGCCTGCAATAAAGGCGGGGAGTGGCAGCACGCAGTGGCGTTGTTGCGGCAGATGTGCGAATATAATTTAGAGCTGGATGCGATGAGCCAAACTATTACAATGTCTACTTGTGTACGGTGGGGTCAATGGCAGCAAGCAGCGCTGTTGTTCGATGAGTTGCGGGACTCGAGAATCGAGCTGAACACCGTAGCCTACGGTCTTGGAGTCAATGTGTGCAAGCAGAGTGGCCAGTGGCTTCAAGCTTTGCTTTTACTGAGGGACGTGCAGGAGTCGAGGTTGGAGCTGGATATCACAACCTATATCTCTGCAGTCAGCGCTTGCCAGAAAGGCGGACAGTGGCAGCATGCTCTGTCGGTGCTCATGGATTCGCGGGAGGCAGAACTGGACATTGAACTGAATAGCTACAGTGCCGGAATCATCGCGTGTCAGAAGGGTGGGCAGTGGCGACAGGCGCTGCTGTTGCTGAGGGACCTGTTGGAAGACAATGTGGACGGGTCGTCACAACCCCAGTCCGATCCTAGCCTCCTCCTCATCCTTCGCATCCTCCTCCCCTGAGGAGGTCGAGTGGGGAAGGGAGAGCTGGGAGGGGGGAGAACTGGGCTGGTGGTTGTGGCGAGGGTCCCTCAGGTGGAGCCAGACATCATCTGCTGCGGTGCTGGAGTCTCTGCGTGTGAATGGGCTGGGCAGGGGCGGCAGGCGTTGGCATTGCTAGGCCTCATGGCAGCATGCAGTCGCTTGCGCCATCATGTGGGATCTTAGTCGATGTCGAGATGCCGCGGGCTTGATGGTCGAGGCCGAGGTCGAGACGGTGGAGCCCGAGTTCGAAATCTATTTACCCTGGTCGACGTCGAGTTCGAGCTGGAAGCGCAAGGAGGCAATGCTCGATGGTGTCGTCGGCTGCTTGTGCTCTGAGAGTGTGGCTGCACATCCTTATGTGCCAGCACTGTTGCGGCCGAGGCATGCTGAAGCATATGCATTCACTGTGTTGGGGATCGTGTGGTCTCGCGTTGCTCGAGGTTCCGGGCAGCAGAAACAGTGGCAGAGGCAGCAACCATTGAGCGATCATCGCAAAGGACAAGTCGGACGAGGCTTCCAGATCTGGCCTCCAGAAGAGATTTGGAGGCCGAATCTATTTTGCTCACCGACTTCCTCGTCCTCCTCATCCTCCTTGAGTCTTCCAGTCTCTTCAGCTCGTCCCTGGCGACAATGGAGCCGCCGGCAGCGTCCAGCTCCATGAGTGTGCGATTTCAAGACCCGCAGGCGCGTTAGAGGCGGGCCGGAGCAGCGGGGCTTCACCTGGTGAGCCCTCCCCCGCCCGACTACCCGTTCTCGAGTTACATTTCGGCTGCCCACCCTGGAGCGGCTCATGGACCTTGGATCGGCTCATGGTGTTCATGGTCATTCTTTTCCGTGCTCCCGGGTGCAGCGTTCGCAACGCTTTGTACGCACGTTTTTTGGCGCCGTGTGTTTTTTTCCGACCTCGCCTCTGGGAAGGCGCGCGGGAGAAGTGCTGAGGGTATCATCGTGCGTCACACCCGCTGGCAGCATATCTCAAGACTGGCTCATTGTCAGGGCTGTTCGTCGAGGTCGGTTGGGTTGCGTGGCTTGGGCTCGGCGCGAATTTGTTCGGCGAGGTGCTGAGGAAATCGGTATCTCTTCTTCCACCGCGCTTGCCCTCTTGTCGCACGCGCGCGGGTTCGCATGTATAGCACCACTGCGCGAGGATGAACTGGATATGTGCATACTAGCATTTCCTGGCCCACCATGCTCTGGCCTATCTTTGGCCCGGGCGCTGGGACAAATGAGGGCCAGTGGGGAGTCGGAGGGCGCGTTGCTTAGGGAGGGCGTCTCGTCAGATGGCTCTATTCTCGCAACGTAGAATTTACTCGTGTCATCCGACGGGCTTCCTCGTTCCCCTGCTTCCCGTGGCTTCATTCAACATTTTCGTCGTCATCGTCGTCCCTCCCCTCTCCCTCTCCTCCCTCTCATAAAGGTATTTCCGACCCCAGGGGTTAGACTTGAGCTGGGCAGGTGGCCTCACATATGATGTTTTCCTGGCCTCGGATCATCTGAGAATCTGTCGTGATCGGGGCGTGTTCCTTCCATCTTCCAGATTTGACGGCCCAGTCTGAGCGGGAGGAACCACGTTTACATACATGTCAGCCAGTGTGGACGGCGCGTGTCTAGCAAGACATGTTGTGCAGTATGTCTGGTGCAGTCTATGTTGTGTAAAACATGTGGCGCAGCCCATGTTGTGCAGTCCTCGTGGAACCACACCTGCGGGGCATTAGATGTGAAGCAACCTATGTTATGCAACATCGGCGTACACACACATATATATATATATATATACACATGCGCCAACACCCATATATAATAGACACACCGTCCCACACATATAACTATAACTGTACAGGTGTATAGAAGAATAAGTATTCTGATATCTACCTGTATGCCTCAATGTATACAACCATGTACATACTCACGTCTCTATATGCCATGCCTGGTTTATGTATGTATGTATGCATGCATGCATGCATGTATGTATGTTTGTTTGTTTGTATGCATGCTTGTTTGTATAGTTGTATGTATGTATGTATGTATGTATGTATGTATGTATGTATGTATGTATGTATGTATGTATGTATGTATGTATGTATGTATACACTCTGAATAAATAGGTGCGCACCTGTATACACACCTATATATATAAACACATCGGAGTAGGCCGCGGGCCCAGGACCAGGGCCGCAGCGTGTCGTGGTCGCCCCGGGGGCCCCACGAGCGCCCTCATGGCTCCCAAAGTGGCCCCGTGTGCGCACAGGCAGCCCAGCAATCTGTTCGGGGGCGGAAAAGAGGGGGGTGATGACTAGGGGGGGGTGGATATCATGGCGTGGGCCATGATATTTCCCCAGATTTCATGGCGCCTCTTCTTATTTCTTTCCGTCCCTGGCCCCCCCGCTGGGCCGCGCACATGCCGCCGGTCATGATTTGCACCCCCCCTCTTGGACACCCCCCTCTTGGCCGCTCCCGATCTATACGATAGTCTACCCTGTGACAAGGACAAGGCCTTCTCGGAAGGTGGCGGGACCTCTCAGCAGTTCTCGCGCCTTCTCGGAGGTTTTTCTGTGTCTTCGGGGAAGGCTCAGAAAACTGAGAACTCCTCAGAAGGCCAGGGGACTTCCGAACCTTCCGAGAACGCCTTCTCCTTCTCACTTCCCTCCCCTCGTTCGCCGCCAGTCTACCAGACCAGTCTATCGCACCCCGAGAGCGCCGAAGATGCCTTGTGAACGACCCTCCAGGCTGCGCCAGGACGGTCCTGGGCAGGCTTCCGTGGGCGCCCGGGAGCCCGAGACGGGTGCCTCGAGAGGCAAGCGTTTGTGATCTCCTTGGGGCTTCTGAGTGTTTCTGGGGTCCTCCACATTCTCGAGTTCCCGACCATCCAAGACGGCCCAAGAGGCCCCCAAGACCGCCCCAAGACGGGCCAAGAGGCCCCCAAGGACGGCCCAACGATGGCCCCAGGGGCGTCCCAGATGGCCCAAGGGGGCCCGAGGACGGCCCCAAAAAGGGTTCAAGCGGGAGCATGAACTAACATATTGTAGTTATCGACCCCAAGGGGCCTCTCGTAGGCCCCCCAAAGGCCCCGAGAGGCTCCCAAGAGGCCCCAAGAGGCCGCCACGATGCCCCAGAAGGCCACAAAACGGCCCCCGAAGAGGCCCAACAACGGCCCCCAAGAGACCCCTGTGATGCCTCCCTCGACATCCCACCGAACACCCTACAGGCTTGCGTCCCACAACCCAGGCACGGTAGCGGCATGGGCCGAATGCCTTTCGGGTCTATTTCGCACACCTCTTGCGCTCCTTCTCACCCTCCTTCCCGTAGCCATCCCAGTTCCTACCGTTTTTGTTAATTACCTCGCACCTCCTTCATCTCCTCTCCAAGCTTCACCTCCTATTCCCCCGTCTCAAGATTTTCGACTGATTCTACCGGGCCGTCCTTTGGGCTTTGCAGCCTCAGTTGGCTTACCCTGGGGCCATTTCGTGGCCATGTTGCGCGCCTTCAGGGGCCGTCCTGAGTGCCCTCGCGCTCCTTCCATCCCCTTCCGCCTCCTCCGTCGTCGATGGAAGAGCAGGTCTTGGAGCTCGAGGCTTCCCTGTGGTGTTCTCTGTGCTTGTGCTGTTTTGCGCGGGCGTTTTCATCGCCTCAGCGGGTTCACTTCCAGCCCATCACGGCCAGACCGCACTTGAGAAGTGGTGACAGGAGGAGGAAGAGACCCCAAAGCTCGCCCCAAAGCTGTCCCAGAGGCCTCCGAGACGGTTCCAAGGCGGCCCGAGACGGGCGTAGAGGCGTCCGAGACGGCCCAAGAGGGCCCCAAGAGGCACGGGCAGGCGCCGTGGGCGAAACTGGGGCGTCTGGACCTTGGAGGCCCGGGGGTTCCCCCACCTCGACATCCGCTTACATCGGGTCCTGGGACCCCTCCCCAGGGTCAAGCGCACCAGTTGTTCGAGCAGCCGCGTCCAGCTGCAGCGGCGAGGAGGGGGGATCCCCGACCTCGACGTCCGCTCATATCGGGTCCTGGGACCCCTCCCCAGGGTTCAAGCGCACCAGTTATTCGCGCAGCCGCGCCCAGCTGCAGCGGCGAGGAGGGCCCCCTCGGAGGCCAGGAAGCCTCGAGCTTCGATGCTCGAGGTTCGAACTTCGAAGCTCGGCGCAAAGAGGTCCGGGGGGCCTGCTCTGAGCGGATCTGGGGTCGGGCCGGGGGGCCCGCTTTGAGCGGGTTCGGGGTCTGGGAGGGTGTTGTTTGCGGCTGCCGCTCCCCTCTGCCGTCCCCGACTCCGCACTCCTGAGAGCGGCCTTCGAACTCCAGGATCTAGGAGGGGGGCTTTTCGACGACGACGACGACGACGACGACGACGACGACGACTGCTTCCCGAAAGAGCCTGAAACCGCACAAATCATGGATGGTCTTCTTAAGAATTCCAGGATTTTCTCGTTGCCGCCATCTCCGCTTCCGGACTCTTCGCGACGGAGGCGTCCAAGAGGGCCCCATCACACCCTTCAGACGCCCAGGATGGCTCAAGAGGCCCCGAGTCGGTCCTACAACAAATGCGCCTTGATACGCCACCAGAACTTGAAGGGCGGCCAGGAAGGCGCCGAGGCACCCCGAAAACGGCGAGTTGCCCCCCGAATGGCCCGCCCAGCCCAGACGGCCAACGGGGCTCCCAAAGGCTCGCCGGCAGAGACCCACAAGCCGGACACAGCTGATTTTTCAGATGGTCTCGACGGGTCTCGCACTCTCCCCTGCTCCGCTCCCTGGCGTTGCAGGCCTGCCCGGAAAGCTTCCCAGCTCGCTCGAAGAGTGCCCGAGGGGCGTGCGATGGGGGCCCGAGGGCACCCCAGCAGGGCTCGTTTCGATTTCCCCGATTCGATCCGATCCGATTTCGAGGGGTTCCGATTCCGATTCGATTCGACTCAGGATTCCGATTTGGGCTTCGATTTCTCAATGGAGGCTTGCTAGCCTGCCGATTTCTGCCGATTCGATTTCTCCCGACTCGGCTGCCGATTTCCGCCGATCCGACTCGTTTCGATCGCCGATCCGACTTATCGATTCGATTCTGGGCTGTCCTGTCCCAGGAGGGCGCCAGGTCGGCCCGGGAGGAGCCCAAGGTGAGCCAGAAGGCCCCAGGACGGCCTTCCAAATAAGCTTGGACACCCCGCGAGGGCCCTGCAGGGGGCCAGGGGCCTCCGAAGCGGCCCCA